GGTGTGCTTCTGAAAGGTCCCAGCCTCGATAGCCCTGGGAGCAGCTCTATTTTGTACACACAGGGTCGCCACCGGTCAGCGCCAACTCGATGGCGACTGACAAGGACACATCAAAGCCGTTCTCCTGGCACCGGTGGTTCTTTCCACCACACCAGACGGAGTGCGGGCACACCAGGGGCGTCGCGGCAAGAGAATATGCTTCTGGAGAAGGCTGGGAACTCACCATGTCTTTGATCTGGCAGTGCCCGTAGCTGAAGACAATGGCATTGGGAGGGTTGCCTACGGGCAGCATCACTGCAAAGGAGATGCACATGGTGACCGGGATGAGGGTGTAGAGCGGGTTAATGTGCAGCGTCTCGGACTGTGGGCATAGAGAAAGCACAGACATCAGGCTGAGGTCAGACTCGTGGCGCCCCATCCCTGCACTCACACCACACACACTTCAGGCTCGCGGAGCTCCATCTGTGAGCTCACACCACACTCATGCTTTAGACTTGCGGAGTTCAGTCCCTGTGCTCACACCACACACCCTCTTCAAGCACACAGAGCTCCAACCTGTGCTCATACCATACACATGCTGTTTCATATGTGAAGCTCCACCCTGTCTCATATCACACACATGCTTTAGACTTGCGGAGTTCAGTCCCTGTGCTCACTCACACCACACATGTGCTTCAGTGCTGCCGTTCTGGACACTCATGCTGGGTCAGTGGCCCTGGCCCACAGTGTGGCCTAGTGGGTAAATGCTGTGCACTTCCATGAGTATGGGTTCTGAGCTACCTCCTAGTTATGGGGTGCTTACTTTCTGGGTGCTGGTCTATGGAACTGGCTTTCAAACTTTAGTATTAGCTGGAGAAATTCTTCAAACAAAAATCCTGTCTGTGCATCGGCTGCTTTGATGGAAGCTGGGAGCCCCTCCTCCTTGGGAGGAAGAGCTAAGGCTTTTTTCTTGCTAAGATCCTGTGGGACTGGAGCCTGCAGGCTAGCTTGCCTTCAACTATGCCAAGTTCTCATAGACTGAACTCACTTGCTCCCACCCACAGGATGCCTGAGCACTGGGGAAGCCAATGCCTGGGGAACAGGGAGGACTTGGGTGAGGTGAGGGGGCACAGGGGAGGAACTTTCTTTCCTAGGTGCCACCTAACAGTGGGGCAGGTGCAGTGTGGGGTTGTGTGTTTTTCTAGGGCTGGCAGGGACCCCTCAACATCTATCAGCTATTCCTTGCCCATTTTCCTATCACTAGCAAATCAGCCTGAGGGCACAGGACAGGGCTGGCCTGGCTGACCCTACACAGACTGCCCCTCTGGACACCCAAACTGGGTGCAGATGGCAAAGACATCAGCCCAGCCACAGTCTTTCTTCACAGCTGTGTGTGTGTGTGTGTGCGTGTGTTACACCTTTCTGAGGTCACCTCCTATTACCCTAGTTGCATCTTATCTGAGGAGAGAAGCATGGGGGCTGGTTGTGAAGAGTTGAGACCCTGGGGTGATGTGGTTCTGTTGCCCAGTCTTTGGGGTCTGGGGGTGGGGGTGCTTGTAACTCTTGCTGGGGGCGGTCTGGTTGCGATGCTCCTGAAGCCAATTCCAGTTTGTAGGTAGAGGGCTTCCAGACCCTGTGTCTGCTGGATTCATGCATCTAGTAAGTCATCCCACGCTCCTGGGAAAACCTCATTTTCACTTCTCGTTTGAACACCAACCGTGAAGGGCAGTGGTGGGGGGTGGGCAGTGGCCAGAGGAGGGGACTGAGACCCCAGCCCTCAGCCCCCGCCTCCCTGGAGCCTGTGTGCTCACCAGACTGCACAGGATGGGCAGGAAGATGGTGATGGTGGCCGGGTTGCTCACAAACTCGGTGACAATGGACACCAGGATGCAGGCCAGCAGGGTGACGGCCCATGGCGGGAGGCTGCTCAGGGACAGCATCTGGTGCCCGATCCACGAGGAGAGGCCGGAGCTCTGTGGGGAGGGTGAGCCTGTGACCAGGGAGCTGGGACAGCCCTCCCCACAGGACTGCGCAGACTGGAGGCGGGTGGATGAGGTGGCTAGCAGGGACCCCAGGCCATCTCACTTGTCCCCCTCTGTCCCTTAGGATCAGGCCGCTCCTGCAGTCCACCAGCACCCCCAGAGGGCATGCGTCCTCCCCAACTCTGCCTTTGGACTCCTTTTCTCTTATCACAGAGAAAGAAGATGTTTCTGGTGTCTTTGGGTGGTAGCCTCTCCTGTGGTTTTGGGGGCAGGGGCGGGCCGGGCTGCACCCTGGAAGTTTTACAAGAGGAATGCAGCCTGGAGGAAGGAGCTAAGCCCATCTCCGTGGGAGGGGGTCAGACTGTTCTCTGGCCTCAGCACCCCCCTGATGGAGATACACACTCAGCATGGCCGGCACGGGGGCCTGTCATCTACCAGGGCCTTTGGACAACCCTCTCCAGCAGACATCTGCATGGATTCCATTAGCAACACCTGTCCATGCACAGCCACCAGCGGGATGGCTCTCACTGTCCGGGATCGTCTGCTTGGTTGGGAGGTGCTCAGACCCCAGCAGGTGGTTGGGAGGTGCTCAGACCCCAGCAGGGAGGGCCGAGCCTGCCTCGAAGAACAAGTGCCCCACTGAGCTTTGGAGCAGCCCCCCCCCCCCCAACAAGTATGCCAGGCTTTGTCCGCTATGTAGGCTCCCTTCTATGGCCAATTGGCTTTGACTTCCATGATGATGTCCGGAAACCCGACGCTCCGACTCCAGCCCTTGAGCCCGAGCTCATTCATTTTCCACGGCTGTGAAGCCCAAGCTGCCTCCTGCCCCCCGGCTTCCTGGCCACCTCCTGGCAAATGCACAGCCAACTGGCCACAGCCCCTCAGCCCTCTCACTGGTGCAGCCATTTCCCCGGCAGGCACCCCCTGCCCCCTCTCTGTGCTCGCCACTGACCTCCAGCTGCTGGGAACTTGCACCTGAGCCCCACATGGTGCCCCTGTTGCCCCACAGTGGGCCCTGCTCAGGGACAGGCAGGGGGGAGCAGCTGGAGGGAGTCTCCCTCCTGGTGGCACCCTCCCTGTGCTGCCGAGTACCACCGGTGGTACCTTGCTGCCTGAGGCCAGCGCATAGCCGCCTCCCACGAGGATGACAATCTCCCAAGGCATGGTCTTCTGGAAGTCCTTCCACGTGATGATGGGCTCCGACCCCTTCCAGGGCTCCTGCGGATCCTCTGCTCACGGGACAGAGAAGCAGAGCCGGGCTCAGAGAGACCGCCGGCTGCAGACGGGGACGGGGTCTCTGGGCTGGGACTCCTCCCACCCCAGCCGGCCCCAGCGCCTCCCTCACCATCGCCAGCCTTCTTCCCAAAGCACGGCTTCTGGGCGGGGATCAGGAAGAGCAGGAAGCCGAGGAAGACAGAGACAGTGGCGTCCGTGCGGTAGCCTTTCCTAGCAGAGAGAAGCGCAGTCACGGAGGGAGGGTCAGGGCTGCCCTGGGGGAGGTGGGCGGGTGGTGGTCGGGGGCTGGGGTCTCCCGCCGCCGGCACTCTGAACACAAGGACCCACCCCCTCTTAAGACCGAGTCAGGAGGTGACACTTCCTCCCTGATAGTCATCACACGCCACAGTGATCTTAGGCAGTGCCTGGCCCATGCGCATGTGTTCTCAGCTGCCCTGTCAGCCCCAGCTCATGAGCCAAAAGGCGCCAGGCCTACCTGTCCCCGTGAGCACATGCAGATTGACTGTGGGACCCACGGTTCTCACTGCTCCTTGTCAGAAGCAGATCACCAGGCCTCTCTTCCTGCACACTCAGTCTGGAAGCTTAACCACAGCCACACACAGGCCTCCACTGACAGGCCGGATGGAGACTCATTGGCTGGGACTCACCCGGCGGGTCTGTCACTATGGGAGAGGTGAGATTTCTACACTAGCTCACCAATGCCTCTTTTTCCCCTCTCTCTCAAAGCCTAACCCCCCTCCCTCCCCTGACTCACCAAACCCACTAGCAGTGGATGGAATCTGACTCCGTGCCTCTGTCGGACAGCGCAGAGCTGCCCCTGTCATAAGGCTCTGAGGCTGTGACTGCCCATGCAAGCAGACTGCCTCCTCGTTCTCCCGAGGAGACTCTGGTGGGTTCTTTGGGGGGAGAGCCGAACGCTTTAACCACCAAAGACGGCAGCTCCCCTGAAGAGAGCGGCCATTCCGGTCTCCCGGCTCCATGTCTGCCCCAGGAGGCTCTGAAGAAGAACTGGGAGCAGGCGCTTGCTCCTGAGGACACAGTGGCCACACTTACTTCTCAAAGAAGGAGTCCCAGCCGGGGACAAAGCCGGGCTCCCTGGTGAACCACAGCACCGTCATCAGGACGAAGAAGAAGCCAGTCACCATCTCAGGGTAGCTGCCGAGGGAAGCAGAAGAACCCTCCAGGTCGGGGACGTGCCTTTTAGCCTCCCCACCCTTCACTGTGGGGTGCTCCTGGGCACAGGAGTGGAGAGGAGCCATGTCGTTCCTGCCTACCCATGAAGCAGGACGAGGCCTGGGGTGACGTCAGAACAGTGCTCCTGTGAGAGGCGAGGTGGGGACAGTGCGGGCACGGGATGGCCCACGGGAAAAGTTAAAACAGTAGAAGACACAGCCTTTGAGGAGGGGGCCCCGTGGGTCCCTGGCGTGGGGAAGCTCTGTGAGGGTCCAGGAGCCCAAGAACAGGGCAGGACATGCTCATGTGGCAAAAGGGACTCGCTACCATGTCACCCAACTTAGAGGGCAGCGGGGGGTGGGGAGAGGGAGCAGCCCCGGAGGCTTCTGAGTCAGGAACCTTTACCGGAGCAGAAAGCCCACCAGTGGTTTCCAACTGCTGACCCTGTGGTTCACAGCGCAATTCCTAACCCACTGTGCCTGCAACCCCAGGAACAGCCCACCACAGACAGCAAGCGTGCCCCAGGAGTTGCATCTCCGTGGAAACAGAGACCATTCATGTATCGGGGAAAGCGACCAACACAGGAGAACAGGGCCTGGCAGAGGCCACGTGGAAAAGGAGTGAGAGAAAACCACAGTGGGTCTGCAGGGAGTTTTACCCCCCAAGCCCCCAGGCGACTGTGTACAAGAAGAGCCGTGGAGTGGCATCAGGGTGGCAGTGGGAGGTGCCAGCAGGCCAGGTTCTCTCTCTTTTCTGTATTTAAGATTTCTCCACAACGAACGCAGTGCATTATGTTGATCGAGGAAAGGCTTTCTAAAAGCCACGCCGCTGCTGTCTGAGCCCCGTCCCAGTGGTACGTGCCCACTGACATAAACCGCCGCCACCGTTGCTGTCGACTCACGACACCCCCTTGTGCCCGAGCCGGAGCGTGCCCTCAGGGCTTCCGTGCTGGCTTTTTCAGCGGGACAGCACCAGGCTTTTCTTCCAAGGTACAAACTTGAACCTCTAACCTTTGGGTTGGAGACCTAGTGTGTTAACCGTCTGCACCTCCTCGGAGCTCAGCGAATTGCCACACAAGGAGATCTGCCTCGCGAGAGGATGCAGGGTCACCTCGGACAAGCGAGTGCAATGGCTGCGGCAGTGAGCGGGTTCTGGAACTTTCTAGCTTGACGTCTGAGGGTAATGCCGCCTTTTCCTACGAATAGTACAGTCTGCTGTCTGGCGAGCAGTGACCATTGGACCTCTGGGAGGGGGACTCTGGACGCTGAAAAGATTCCAGCCTGCTCCCAACGGGTGGAAAAGCTACCCCTCCCTCCGACACTGCACCGTCCCCACCACGGCCACTGGGAAGGGCGGCCGCTCGAGATCCAGGCCAGCCTGGCCGCTTCTAAGTGCCTATATTCCAGTCGAGGCAAGTACCACCTGCGCCCGAGATGGGCGAGAACAAGGCTGCGTCTGTGTGACATCACGGGTGAGGACAGAGGGTGGACAGCTGCCCGCTTTACCTGAGGTCGCCCAGCTTCTCGTACTCCGCCCGGATCCTCCTCTCCGACAGCTCTTCCCTTCTGGTCTTCTTCTTCTTGCTCAGAGAGCAGGTCTCTTTGAAACTGCCGAGGGGGAAGATGCACAGGTGTAAAGGAAGCTCGCTGGAGGGGCTGTGTAAGGAAGTGACCCTAACACCACCGTCCCCTCCAGGAGCCCCCTCTGCCCCTCGCCTTTCCTCAGCCAGGCCACACAGCCGCTCTCCAACCAGCTCCTTCCCTGTCCTTTGTGGACACCGGGTCAGTCTCTGAGGTGCAGCTGCGAGCCCGCAGGTGCAGACGCCTGGTGGGCTTGGAGAAGGTGGGCAGTGAGTCCACCCTGACGTGCCTTGGAAAAAAGGCATGGCTGTCCACCTCCCTACCAAACCAGCCATTGAGGACCCCAGGGCTCAGACACAGTCCTACTCCAAGACCCCTAGAGTGGCTGGTTAACGAAGGGGCTGCTGCCTGGTGGGGTAGTGGTTTCCGAATTGGGCTGTGATCCGCCTGGTAGGCAGTTCAAAACCACTAGCAGCTCCGAGGGAGAAAGACTGGGCTTTCTGCTCCAGTGAACAGTTAGAGTCTCAGAATCCCCCAGGGGGTCACTATGAGTCAGCGTTGACTCAACGGCTGTGAGTTTGGTTTTTTGGTTTTTATCTCATGGGCTTCGGCAAGTTGTGTTTCTATCGGGCTGTTTCTAGGCAAGAAGACGTTTTCTGCTCCTGTAAAGAGTAACGGTCTCGGAAACCCACAGCGGCAGTCCTACCCTGCCCTATAGGAGGGTTTCTGTGAGTCAGCATCACTTTGATGGCAGGGAGTTTGGCTTTGGTCTGGTTTCTAGATACCTGGCTCTGTGTCCGTATGAATCATCAGCATGATGGGGTCTATGTGGGGGGCTGTTGAGATGTTTGTGTTTTGCAGGCGCACAGACTGGGGGCGGGGATTCAAATAGGACATGGAAAGATTCCACTCCCTCTTAATTCCACTTCTGCATGAACTCTTTTGAGGGCCCCTCGTAAATGCACAGCAGGGGTGGGGGACATCCAGCCCGGGGATCGTAAAAGGCCCAAGAAATCAATACCAGCCTTAACTATTAAACTCTCACCCCCACTGCCCTTGAGCTGATTCCAACTCATCCCCTGTGGGACAGGGTAGAGCGGCCCCTGTGGGTTTCTGAGACGGTAACTTTCTATGGGAGTAGAAAGCCTCATCTTTCTCGCTCGGAGGTGCTGGTGGGTTTCAAACTGCTGACCTTGTGGTTCAAAGCCCGATGTGTAACCACTCTGCCACCAGGGCCCCTTGCCTTTGAGGGGTGAGTGACTGAAATGTTTGATCAGTGTGGCCCATGAATGGTGCTATAAATCTCCAAAATGGCAAGAAAAAACAAGACCCTCCACCTATGACGTAGAGAGATCGGGCTTGTCTGAGGCGAAAGTGGGGAGAGGTTTTCCCTTCATTTTTCTCTGAGCGGCGCTGCACCCTCAGAGGTGTGCAGCAGCTCCCAGGGATGCGGCAACAGTCTCAGGAGATTAAAGCCAGCTCACCAAAGGTTCCTTGACCAGGTGGCATGTTGGGGTCCATGGACCATGACCCAGATATCCTACACATCTTCCCCGTACCAGTCTGAGGTGGGTCACTTTGGAGCAGATGAGTGGTGATGCAGAAAAGGCTTCCTCAACAGAGGGGTAGGAAGACCAACGGCCACGACATGTGTAATGTTGACAGGGGTGTGCACCTCTGTCCACCCGCTGCCCTCAAGTGGACTGTGACTCACAGCGACGCTCTAGGGAGAGCAGAACCGTCCCTGTGGGTCATCTCTCCCATGGAGCAGCTGGTGGTTTTGAACGGATGACCTCGTGGTTAGCAGCCCAATGCTGAAGCCATTACGCTACCAGGGTCCCCTTAGGTGTGAACACAGACCATACATATTATGCTGTAGAAACCTCTTGTGTCTATAAAATGGAGCTCAAGTCAAGTTCAACGGGGAGTTAGTGGAATTTTGAAGTGAGTTGGAATTACCCTACACACTTTGAAAGCGATGAAACAACGGTAAACAATTGCCAACGCAGACTTTCTTTTTAGAAATCGGAGAGGCCCTCTAACCGATGAGTTGGGAGAGCATTCCAGTGTATCGCTTGTTCTGAAAAGGCCAGTCTCTGGACGGTTAGAGTGCCTGGCTCCCGATGGAGTCCACGCCAGCCGTTCTGCAGCGTCCCCTGGAGGAGAGTCCAGGCATCTGCAGAGCCCTGGAAACTTACTTGCAGCCCAGGAACAGCCAATGCATCCAGAACCAGCTGACCACCAGCATGAGGAGGGAGATGGGGAAGCTGAAGAGGAACCATGTGCCAAAGTTGACCACCTCTGCGGCTGGGTACTGGCTGGAGGTAAAGAGCCAGGGCAGTGGTTAGAGAAGGGTGGACTACCGCATGGAGTAGACATGCCTTAGTAAGTAAGATACACCCCCGAGCGAAGGGTCAGGTATAGGTATAACAATATCTACAAACGATACCCATCATCTAAAAATCATGAGCTTATGGGACCGTCACAGGGCCCAACAAAGAACTGTGACTTTAGCTAAAAAGGGGCATCTAAGCAATCAAACTTGATGTTGATAGAGGTCTATAAGGAGTCTTGGTGGCACAAACAGTTAAGCACTTAGATGCTAACCTAAAGTTAGCAGGGGTGAGCAATCTGAGGTCAAGTCTTGGCAGACCTGCTTGAATATATAGTTTTTGCTCATTTCAAGAGGTAGCCTAAGGTCCAGAACAGATGGTGTTGAAGGAAGATGCCCACGTGGCACGGAAGGCATTTGCACTGAGCTAGCATGCTCCGGGAATTACTGACGTCCCCATGGAAACGTTTCAATAAACAGATGCAGCAATGGAAACATTCCCTTGTGGATGTTAAGAAATTTGGGAGACGGCTACTTGGGCAACTAACTGGAAGAGACCCATCTTCGTGTCCATTCCAAAGGAAGGTGTCCCAACAGAACGTCGAAAGGATCAAGCAATGTCCTCAGCCTTCCACCTGTGAAAAAGGTGGCACTGTGGGTTAAGCACCACACTTTAAACCACTGAGCTGGTGGCTCAACCTCGCCAGCAACTCCCAGGAAGAAAGATGAGGCTGTCACCCCTGGTAAAAATGTGCAGGCTTGGAAACCCCAGGTAGGGTTCCTGAGATTGGAGTGGGCCCGATGGCAGCAGGTTTATACAGGTGGACAAGGAGGCGCGGTGGTGCAGGAGCTACGTGATTGGCTGCTAACCGAAAGGTCAGTGGTTTGGACAAACCAGCTAGACTTAAAAAATGCGGTAGTCAGTGCTGGAGAGATCACTCTGGAAACCATAGGGGCAGTTTTACTCTGTCCTGTTGGCTCGCTTTGAGTCTGAAAGGAGCGATGGGTTTTGTTTTGGGTGTACATTCTACCTGGACGAAGGGATTTCTCACTTTGTTCATGAGGCAGTACACCAGTGTAGGGTGTGTTTGAAGCCAATCGCCTTTGAGATATCAAAGAGCACAGATGAGGGAGATCGAGAAAGAACAGAGAGAGGAACAGAAGCCGAAAAGAACAAGCATCTCCCCTCACAAGAGAGAGACCTGACCCCCTAACTCAGACTTTTATTCTCCTAGCTGTGAGAAATGATGTTTCTGTCTGTTCAAGCCATCCACCTGTGGTACTTTTGTTATAGCGGCAATGGCTAACTAAGGTGCAGGGAAGCCCCTGACACGCGTGTATGCATCCTTTTATCACCCAAGAAGTAGACTATGGGAAGATGGACTGGCCTAATCACATAGTGAACCAGGAGCTCAGAGGCTGGCCAGAGGAAAATGGGGTGAGGGAGAAAAATGAGGTGAAGCTCCTTGAGGCTTAGGTTCTGCGGAACCACTGATGTTCCCTCCCTCCCTCCTTCCTTCCTCAAGTTTATGCCCACTGCCGTCCAGAGTCTACACAGTCTCCCCAAGCCATCTCATCCAACCCTGCGGTTTCAGTGGCCAGACAGACACATGCCCCCAAGCC